CAACATCATCAGCAGCACCTCATTGCCTGTTAAATGTCGCAGGAAGACCATGCTCAGGCTGAGGTTTTTGTTCAATTGAACCGCATCTGGTAAACATTATAAAATATAAGCGACAAAAACATTTCGAAAATCATAAAAAAAATATCTCCAAAAGCAGAATACATTGTGCGATTCCGACATCATCATAAGCCTGTGTTTATGAATCAAATAGAGGTGGTACCATGCAGGTATTCGCGAAAAGTCTGAATAAAGGTAAAGAATAGCTCTTCAGCAACCCATGCTTGCCCTAAAAGGCGACTATGCTTGTCGCAAGAGGCGACTGACGGGATCAGTACATATTTATCGTATCCTAATGACGTGGATCGATGCGCATGACGTCAATTACTGGATTGTCTGGTTGAGACTTGAATATTTACATACCGCCGTCATATAGCTAGAATACTGCTGAGTGAGGCGTTAAACAACAAAGAAACAAACAAAACATTCTATGTTAAACACAACGAAGGACGGTTGTTGCCTAGCAATGATTAAAGAGCATGTGTACTTGTATAGAGGGTTGTCATGTGACCTGCTCTTCAGCAAGTGCGGCGTCTCCCTATTTGTCATCCACAGCCTTTTTTGAAACAACTGACAACCACATCGGTGATGGTGGATAACCATTGCAGTACCGGACCCTCATTAATAGCACAACTGGTGACACCCTACGTAAAGGTAAATATTTCTTTAGATTAGATTATTTACAACTATTTAGCATATATTACATATATCACATTGCAGATCTTCGACTGAAGTTTGTTTGTTTGTTGTTTAACGCGGCAATATTCTGTAAATAATCGAGTCCGGACCAGACAATCTAGTGATTGACATCATGGGCATCGATCCACGCAATTGGGATCGATGACATGCATAAACCAAGACAGCGAACCTGACCACCAGCTCTCGTTAGTCGCCTCTTACGACAAGCATAGTCGCCTTTTATGGCAAGCATGGGTTGCTGAAGACCTATTCTACCCCGACTGAAGACACCCAAGGTATGGGATAACGTCCCAATGGTATACATTGTCAGTAGACGTGTACTGGAAGAGTCTGTTTTGGAAGAGGGGAGTACTCCGCTGTAGTTGACGAACACAACTTGCTGCACGATTATCAAGTGTGTCATATCTCCATTCTATTAGGACATATATCCAGGACCAATCGATCAACGAGTTTTCCCGTTCTGCACTGTTTCATTCACTGCACATGACTAAGCGCACTGCACACAGTAGAGAGGACGATGCGGTATACAAGTGGGAGCGAGCGAGTATAGTTTTACGCCGCTTTTAGCAATATTCCAGCAATAGCACGGCGGGGGACACCAGAAATGGTCTTCAAACATTGTACCCATGTAGGGAATTGAACCCGGGCCTTCGGCGTGACGAGCGAACACTTTAACCACTAGGCTCCACCACCACCCCCTGAATACAAGTGAAATTAGGAGTAGTAGTATGAACCAATTCACGATGTTTTCTGCAGTTCAGCCACAGGAGTGATGTGACCTTTGAGACAAAGGCCATCAGTATATAATGAACAACAACAACAACAACAACAACAACATCTGAACTCATACAAAAACTTTAAAAAATATTCTTATCTTAATTGACTCGGTGAAGATCAAAATACATTGTTATAATCAGTTTTTCTTAGGATCTCAGTCTACTCGGTTCCATATAAAAGTAAACCCCTTGACCTTGTGGTTGCAATCAGATTCTCCACAACCTGTTTGATCATCTGCCCGCTGTAGGCTCAGCCAGTCTATTCAATCCCCAGCGAATACCTCAGATATGAGCCTGCCAACCACAGGCCACAAGTATGGCGGGCTATGCAAACCACAATTAGACAAAATGTATGGTGAGATACAAGTGGCATAAATCAGTGTAATTAGTAACATATATAACTAGCAGCAATCCTACAAGAAAAGGCGGGGTTTTTTTCTTCTCATAATGTCGATTGAAGTTTTTTCCTACTAATTAGGATACTTTAGAAATCTTGAGTCCTAATGAAGAGGGCGATCGGGTAGCCTAGTGGTTAAAGCGTTCGCTCGTCACGCCGAAGACCCGGGTTCCATTCCCGACATGATATTGCTAAATGCGGCGTAAAACCATACTCACTCACTCCTAATGAAGACGATTCGTCTCTGTAAAGTTTCTTTTTCTGGTTGAGTTTTTCGACAAAGGTGGAGAATATCAGAAGAGCCACATCTTTTACGATGGTCATATTCTTTGATAATGCTTGAAAAACATCGAGCAGTCGTGATGAAAATGCAGAGCATCAATATGATCTGAAGAACAGCCTCGATTACCCAGTGTGATCTGTTTTTATTTATTGGTATATGAATGGGTCCAGGGTATATATATGTATATATAAAACACAAAAGCCCAAAGATGAGCTGTATATATATACCATCGTTTCGGAAGTGACGTCACTGCATCTACATCAACTCTCTTTCAAGAGCGTAATGTGATTGGGAGACTATTTTTAGCTTCATTCAGGTCGGGATGAACCCACACTGGATAATCTAGGGTGTCTAAAGTACAGAATCGTTATACGAATGTTGATAAATTAACAGATCATTCTGTCTGATAGAAAACGGCTATATAGAAGCATACCACGATGACGCATGTCACGTAGAGGGGATGATATGTTAAGTATATATTTGGGAGGGTATATGCCACTGTCCAAAAATGAATAATACACTGCCGGGCAAAAGAAGTATACATACTGCACACCCATCTTTGATGGTGGCTAAAAATGAAACAAACAAGAAATGGTTATTCAAAGTGATGTATTTGATACAGGTATCATAGTTGCACGGTGGCCCATAAGGGACATGGAGTCTGTTTTTCAATATTTGGATGTTTAACTTACTTTTATCTTAACCTTTTGCAAATTAACACAATCTGCCATACAAATATGTGATAAATCATGTATAAAAACATCCGAAAACATAGAAAATGTACTTTTAAGTAGCTTTTGAGTCGCTGAAATGTGAAGTGAAAATGTCAAAAACTAAAATGGAAATGTCAAAAACCAAAACGAAAAGGTCAAAAACTAAAATGAAAATGTCAAAAACACAAAACGAAAATGTCAAAAACTAAAATAAATACACAGAAAACTATTTCCACCTCGGTGTAAATATTATCACCGAGGTGAAAACTATTTCCAACGCGGTGATAATATTTAAAATGAAAATGTCAAAAACACAAAACGAAAATGTCAAAAACTAAAATGAAAATACAGAAAACTATTTCCACCGCGGTGTAAATATTATCACCGCGTTGGAAATAGTTTTCACCTCGGTGATAATATTTACACCGAGGTGGAAATAGTTTTCTGTATTTTCATTTTAGTTTTTGACATTTTCGTTTTGTGTTTTTGACATTTTCATTTTAGTTTTTGACATTTTCGCTTCGTTTTTCAGCGATTCAATATCTTCTTTACACATGATTTATCACATATTTGTAAGACAAATCGTGTTAATTTGCAAAAGGTTACGATAACAGTAAGTGAAATATCAAAATATTGAAAAACAGACTCCGTGTCCCTTATGGGCCACCGTATAGTTGTGTTCTGGCGCTTACATTTGCAGTGTGTCGTCGACTGTTTTCAGCCAAGTAAAGTTTTAATAACGGTTGTAATGTTTAGTCTGATCAGATTTTCAAGTGTATACTTTCTTTTGCCCGTCACTTTGTACCATGCAGGTGTATTTTCATTTTAATATAATTGGGCCCCGATGTCTGACAAAAACGAAAGCCTTTTGAATTAATACTATAATTGTCATTATTATGCAATATATTTTGGTAATATATAGATTTGCTTGGAATTTATTATAATCATATCTATATACGATTAATTAATCCCAACTCCTATCCATCGTTTTAAACGATCTTTCGGAGGTTATTTTATAAGGAGTGGATTTATACTGCGACACCGTGTTACATGTTTTAAGCAAACAATCAATATTAACGCTCTGAAAAGCAGGATCCCGGAAAGAGCAATGACGTCAAGAAGGGGAATTCCGCCGTACGTGCTGAACGGGGGCTTCTAGCCTTGAGACGACCTTGAATACACCTTGGCGCTCCCGCGTGGCTATATATACCCAGCGCAATGACAGCACTCGGAGAGGAAACACCGACAGCGGCATGGATCAGTATTTATAGCAGCGCCCGGTGGAAAATCAGTGTCTCTTTTTTACGTATGGATAGGTGTGATGTACTGTGTGATATGTGCTTGGTTTAAGTGATGGGGAATTCCCTCTGAAACATCAAACGGCGCCACATAGCCATACATTATAAACCAGGATACTATTAAAATCGGATGAATACAAGTCTGGCAGGTAAGCTATTTTGTATTTATTGTATCTTATATATTACTATAACAATTCTATGTTTGTGATTTAAATATGTTATGAAAAGAGTAGTCAAATGACATCAGTTTTGCTTGCCATGAATCGATGAAATTGGTAATGACTATTTTGTATTTCGTCATGTAAGTGTCACATTGAAAATCTTGCCAATGGCAATATATCTGCTTAAGAGGAATATAGTTGTATGGTGGTTATTGTTCAAAGATGGGTACTCGTGTATGTAATAAATGATATAATACCGCGGTATGCAGTACAGATGTTAATACGGCAGGTTATATACCATAACTTTTTATATTCAGACTTCAATTGACCATTTGTTAATAACAAGGATAATAGATGAAAAATACAACACACGCTTTCACCTCGTTATACAACAATTGGTTACATGTAGAAAAATGAGACATTGGTCTTACTGTTAGACAACAATGGTTGAAATGTATTCTTTCTAGGTATTGCTTTGTACGCGTTACGGACGCACACCATCTATAGCTACTGATTTGTGTGACACGAACCTAGAATACGTCACCTCAGGAATGATCGTCAAAGGTCGTATATTGATTTTCTTCCCGTGGTGACATATTGGCATTACGTATGGTGTATGTGTATGTGGTACTCAGTGTCTGGTCTCGCCATTTATTTCGCGTCATGTCAGAAACTGTCCGATCCCTGGCAGCGATTGACATCAGTTCCGATGTCATGCCCCCCAGAGTATGTATCCCGACTGCTTACCGTGAAGGTGAAGGACGTTTAGAAGACCGATGTTTGCGTTATTGAAACTCCAGCAAGGTCAAGCTTGAGTAAATTTCAGTATGTCACAATAACACTCGTAGCTGAATATCTCTTGTATTTCCTGCTTCTCAAGCGTGACTCAATACCAGTTCGTTATGTCATCATACAGACGCGTGCTCCCATATAAAAGCAACGGAGAAGTGTCTTTACAGGACTTGTGGATATTTAAAGTGATGAATATCAGCATTTCCACAGTATCAAGTTGATCTATTATTAGCGGACGGCGACGTTCATTTTGAAAGACAAGGTAAACATATTTAACTATTTCATTACACTGCTGCATGAAATGGCGAAGTGTTACCTTTTGCTACATTTATATTAATATATTTAAAACTATGTCATATTCATGCCATCAATTTGAGTTTCTTCTTTCTTGTACATTTATAAATTAATGGTTTAGTATGTTTAATATCATTATTTTCTGAAGGTTATTGGTCCATCAACCGAATACTGACACAAGGGTTCCAGTATCAATATTTTCAGTGTGTATAGTGGGTGATCTGTAAATGTATAGAGGGCTTGCTTGCTTGAGGTAGCACTCAGATCATGAGTGGGTCATATGGACGAACATACACATACAGTCAAATGTCAATAAAACCAGTGTATAGAAATTAATTCACCCGAGAAGACCCGGGTTAGAATCTATCCCAGTTGTGTAGATCGATGCTCTTGGTGCCAATCACTGGATTGTCTGGTCCATACTCGATTATTTACAGATCGCCGTCATATAGCTGGAGTATTGTGGGTGCTGCGTTAAAGGGCAAGTTCACACGGAAATGAGCCTATTTTTCTTGTACTTTTTCCACATTAAAAGTGTTAACATAGAAGTGTCATAGACAAAAATATAAAAATATCACAATTAATTAACATATTTTTCGCATTAAAACGATTTATATTTTTCACATTTACCAAGTGTTCTATTTCCACAACAAAAACACCATGGCTTATGCCCCTTGCAATATGACGTCATTGGTGCCAATTGATAAACATTATGACGTCATCATGCTTTGTTAGAGCCGCTTCACGTGGTGTAGGTCCAGGTGTGTGATTCTAGCGTCTCAGATGCCAGCCAGCATAGTGTTATGCTGAGTCACCACTGCGCCGGAGTGTGTCGTAGGCCATGTTGTTTTACTGCAAACTGGTACTTGATATCTTTTGCGTTGAGAATAGACAGGGACCCAGTTGAATTGGCACCAATTACGTCATAATCTAAGGGGGATAACTCAGGCCTGTTTAGCTCGAAAAACGAAGGCCTCATAACGGCATATCATTTTCACACTATTGTGAGCTTCCTACGTTCACTGTGAAAAAAAAGAGTGTATATTTTCAAACACAGATACTAATTAATTCTAAAATTGCGTTTTGTTTAGAAAAAGAAAGAAAGTGATTTTTACGTGTACACTTCCCCTTTAAACTACAAACAACAACTAGAAATTGAGACTCAATCTCCATAAACGCATGAGGAAGTAGTGAGAAACGTACTATACCGGTTCGTAGCGTTATAACCGTGGGGTCAAGGGTCAGACGAGGACCCCATAATCCCTTGCTTTGAGAGGAGACCGCCTCCGTGGTGTAATGGACAGAGGGCCTTCCCGGAGAGAGGAAGGTTGTAGGTTCGATCCCCGGCCGCGTCAAGACGTAAAAAGGTGGTACTTGTTGTTATCCTCCCTAGCGCTCGCCAAGGGGATAAAACAAGGATCAGGTTGGCTCGGAAGTCAGTATACCGTGTCTGAGTGGGGTATTCATGTTAAACTGCGGCATGGTATCTCAGTGGGCTAGCACTATAAATCGGCATTAGTCCGGATGAGTACAAGCAGACCCCCCCCCCCCCCCCCACCCCACACACACACATCCAACACACCCACACATCCAACACACACGTAGCTATATAAGTTAAAAGTGCAATAATCTTGAACGCGACGTTACACCTCATTTCACCTCACCTTTAAGGGGGGACTAGAATAACGATAAATTACCAGGAGGTTTGCCATCGTACCCCGATCTTTGCTTATGCTATTCGACCTCTAATGAGCCTGGTCGCGACTGAATGAAGTCTGCCGTCACGTGTCTGTGATATACGCTAACATCGCTGACTGCGGGTTGACCAACATGCACACACTATATTAGGCCTTATCCCCAAACTTAGCGATCAGCATCACCCAGTCTAGAATCGATAAGGAAGGAAACCTGACGCAAAATCCGTTCAATATTTCATCACGGACGTGCCACTCATATCCTAATGGTCAATTTGACCTGCGCATGACACATCAGGTTGAATTGTGGGTAACGGAAATATAAAACGTCACTGCCAGAGATTTATCAGTCTCAATGATCTGTCGAAACAGATTCCATCCGACGTAAAAGGCAAAACAGTCGGTGACAATAACTTGAACGGATCACTGACAATCAGTGATGATTCCAGGTGTTCGAAAAGGGTAAACATGTCTGCCCCACAACAACACCCGCCATTCACAGCATTCACGCCATTTGTATAAAGAGCACGAGCCTATTTGTTGCCTGACGCAGCACGGAAGTACTCCTGCTATATGAAGGCGGCCTGTAAACAATCGATAGCGTTTAGCCAGAGACCATTACATAGATCTATTTTATGGTCTCTGGTTTAGCCTACTGATTTTGTTATATATAGCGTTTAGCCAGAGACCATAACATAGATCTATCTAGCCTATTGAATTTGTTAGACCCGTGAAGATTTCGGGGTAGAATAGGACTTCAGCAACCCATGCTTGCCGCAAAAGGCGACTAACGGAATCGGGCGGTCAGGCTCGCTGACTTGGTTGATGCATGTCATCGATCCCAATTGCGTGGATCGATGCTCATGATGTCAATCACTGGATTGTCTGGTCCAGACTCGATTATTTTACAGACTGCCGTCACACAGCGGGAATATTGCTGCGTGCGGCGTAAAACCAACCAACCAACCACATTTCACTAACAGTAACACTAACACTACAGCATTAACACTGTACAGTAAACTACGGTTATAACGAACTGACAGGGACCAATAAGTTTAATTTGTAATAACCGTTCGTTATAAGCATATATACAGTAAATGGCAGGGACAACAAAAAACCCAGTTCGTTATATCCGTCAGTTCGTTATGAACGTGATCGTTATAAACGTATTTTACTATAATGAAAATGTGTACTAATATTTCGCTTGGCTCCTGCTTACAACATTACCCCGGTCAATGGATCAGTGTGTACTCGATTTTCATTCTCAGCTCCCTGGGGAGTATACAAGCCAAGCTGCCTGTGAGGCGCTAGAAGGTAAACAGTCACATTAGCATCTCATCCTACCGGGTACCCATTCACTACTGGGTGAACAGAGGCACATTTCGAACAAAGTCATTTGCCCAAGGAGATACCACGTGCGCTGCATGTGTCTCAGTGCGTTGCAGGACAGAAGCCACAGAAACTCTCAGGAGTCAAGGGGCGGTCGGGTAGCCTAGTGGTTAAAGCGTTCGCTCGTCACGCCGAAGACCCGGGTTCGATTCCCAACATGGGTACAATGTGTGAAGCCGATTTCTGGTGTCCCCCGCTGTGATTTTGCTGGAATATTGCTAAAAGCGGCGTAAAACCATACTCACTCACTCTCAGGAGTCAAACTACCGAACGCGGTTACCCATACGAAAATTCTCAGCGGCCGACGTTGCTTAACTTTACGTGATTTGTGACCTGTACACTGTGCACAAGGGCGTGTTATCAACACTAGCACTAACACTGGCGTTAATACTAGCACTAACACTGGCACTAACATTAACACTAGCTCTTACACTGACATTAACACTAGTATAAACACCCGCACTAACATTGACACCAGCACTAACATTAGCATTAACCCTAGCACTAGTATTAACACTAGCTCCAACACTAGCATTAACTCTAGAATTAACCCTGGCACTAACATTAACACTAGCTCCAACACTAGCATGAACACGTGCACTCACACTAACACTAGCTCTAATACTAACATTAACACTAGCACTAACACAAGTATTAACCCTAGCACTAACATTAACACTAGTTCCAACACTAGCTCTAACATTAACATTAGGACTAGCTCCAGCACTAGCATTAACACTAACACAAGCATTAACATTAGGACTAGCACCAACGCTAGCATTCTCACTACCTCTCAAAACGGAGCCGTGTGGTATTTCTCAATGCTGGAAGATGTGAGATAAGGTGAAATGGGGTTGAACGTCGCGTTCAAGATCATTGCACTTATGTAGCGACGTGCGTGCGTGTTTGGCTTCTTGTACTAGTCCGGACTAATCCGATTTCATAGTGCTAGCCCACTGAGATATCATGCCGCAGTTTAACATCGATACCCCACTCAGACACAGTATACTGACCAGCAGCCGACCAGTCCTTGTTTTAGCCCCTTCATACCGAGCGCAAGACAGGGTAACAACAAGTACCATCTTTTAATGTATTTTAGTATGACACTGGAAGCAGCTACCGACGAGTTGAGGTAAAATGGTGTCAGCGTCGCATTAAAGATGGTTTCACGTGTGTGTGTGGCTGCTTGTACTAGTCCGAACTAATCCCGGTTTTATAGCGCTTGCCCACTGATATGCCATGTAGCATGGATACCCCACTAAGACTAAGCCACTAAGACACATCATACTGGCTCCGAGTCAGACATCCCTTGTCTTATCCCTTAATACCGAGCTCCAGGCATGGCAACAACAAGTGCCTTCTTTTAATGTTCTTCAGCGTGAAGCGGCCAGGGAATAGAACCACCTACCTTCCGCTCTTTGGGAAGAGATTTCAGCTTTTAGATCTTCCGAGGATGTTCATAAGGGTTACAAAAGTATCATCTTTTAACGCGGCCTGGCATCGAGCCACGGAACTTTCACCGTCCGCACAGACGCTCTATCCACTAGACACGGAGGCGGTTTCTTCCTACAAGGCAGTTACAAAGTCATAATGCAAAAAAATAAAAATAAAATGTGTATTAGCTTGATAGTTGTGGCGGGGGGGGGGGGGGGGTGGGGGGGGGGGGGGGGGGTCTTCTGGAAATACCAGCTCATCTTCCATCAACTGAAACACAATTAGGTTCGACCGAGACCACTGGTTTGTATGGGCCAGATTCGATTATTTACAGGCCGCTGTGAAATAGCTGAAACAGTGTTGTTGCGGCGTACAACAACTGAAAAGAAATAAAGAAATACTATGGAAACCGGTTTTCAATGCTGGTCATGAATTACGAGGCTTTACGGTC